TATATATGTGTTAGACACTTCATTGTTCTTTGAATAGGCTGGTTGTCCTTTTCCTTAGAAAGACAAATATACAGCTTTAATTTGAAGGGGTTTATTGATTGTAAGGAACAAAACATTTACTGGAAACAAGTCTTCTCATGTCTAGGGGAGACCCATGGGCCTTTTCATCGAGATATCATGAGGTGAGAGTTCAAGAGGCCCCTTTGAAAATGGCCGTGCCAGTTGTTCCCTCACCAAAATGTACCCTAACTTTGGAGCTTTATTTAGCCTCTTTCCTGACAAGCTACGCTCACATGGTTGGTACCAATAGATGTCTTAAGTTGTCTGGTTTCACAAGATACCACCACCTTTGCTTGCTAGCTTACAAATGAGCATGCCACAGCCTCTTAAAGACAGCAATGTGGGCCTCCAATTATTTTTGCCAGGGAGGCCAGTTGGGGGGCCAGCGATTGCATCAGGGTGGCCAATGCCCCCCCCCACCTTTGGGGTGCCACAGGGTCCAGTGCAGGTAGAATGCACATCAGCAGGCTTGCATTACATACAGTAACAGTACGTCTGGCATATGAAATGATTGTACCATCGCTGCTCTGCATTTAATGAACAAATCTATTGCCTGCATTCAGACGCCGTCTCATCGTTGCATGATAGACTACAACTCCCAAGTAGAAGACATTTATGCTCTTCATTAACACTGCTACATACAGATATATCTATATTCCTTGTACAGCGAGTGACTGACCTTCATTGCTGCTGACTGAGTGCAAAGCTCTTCCACTTGATGGCCCGTAAGAATGGTCACCATGCCGGCTGTATCTTCGTCTCCGTTGCTCTGGGAGACTGTTAGCTGACGACAGCTGTCCACCATCTTGTATAAATGCCTGGGGAAAAAAAAAAAAAAAGCATACCAATCAAAATAGAAGCCACGCTCATCTAGTGAGTATTCTAGAAGACAAATGGAGGAGAGCATGGTTTACCAGGCTTCGATGTCCTGACGTTTCAGTTTATCTCTTTCAAAACTTCGACCAGACTCCTTTTGGCAGCGTATGTACCTACAGAGGGATGTGATACAGGACATTCAAGAAATCCTCAAAATAAGCTGTGTGGTAAAATTGATGTTTGAGTTCAACATATCAGGAAACAAAAAACTATTTCACATCCACTTAAAAAAAAGTGCAGCGGGAAACTACATCAGTCACTAGACATGAAATACAAACACCCACCTGTTGCCTTTGCGAAATTCGGACTCCAGGAAGCGAATGCCGTCCCTTGCACCAGCATTCTCCTTCTTCAACCTGTCGAGACCATCGATCACTATAAACACAGAAATAGTTTGGATTAAGTACCTGAGCAGCCATGTCAGCAACAGACGTTTGAATTTGAGTCAGAAACCGACTTTTTGAAAAGACAGAGAATTATGTTATGTCGTTATGTGTTCAAATTGGCACATTTACCTTTACTGGACTATCCATCTACCTGTTCATTTTCATTGTCCTAGATAACAGCTTGGGACATTATGTGAATCAAGTGTCTTCAAACCAGAGCTGTCACCAGGGCTGCAGCTAATCACTTATCCATTAATCTACATTTTTTTCCTATTGAAAATGAATTGTTTAGTCTATAAAATCTCAAAGAAACTGTGAAAAATGTCCATCACAGGTTAATGGTGGCATCTTTTAATAGCTTCTGTCCGACCAACAATTTTCTGTCAGTTGACTGCTTGATTATTAATCACCTGCAATTAATTGTTTCAGCACTGACATGTCTGCTATAATTTTTTGCGAATTAAAACAGCAAAGTACAAATATTTTATTGTACAATTAAGTGTGAAATACAACTCTACATGCATCAAACATTAAACAAGAATCATTTATCTGGGACAAAACACGAAAAGTGACAGGGAACCAAAACAAACAGAAATGAGATGGATTATTAGGTTCATTTCATAAAATACTTTTGGACATAAAATGCACTTGATAACATTAAAATCTGAGGCTGAATGTCCAGAAGAATAACTCCCTTGTTTGGCAATACACTTGTGTCTAAATATGTGTTTCTGCAGGGTTCCCAAATGTAAATTTAAGACTTTTTTAAGACATTTTCAATACAACACGAAATGCAATTTAATACCTGTTGGTGATGGAAAATCTAGGAATAAAATGACCTAGAATTCTTTATTGTTAAAATTCTTTTTTCCCGTAACTTCCTCGCAGTGTGTTTCAATAATTCCTCTGATTAATTAAATTAACGTGACCTGGATCACCATAAGTGGCAGGAAACGAATGGCTGTGTTAACCAATTTAGAATGATTGAAGAATTTGCTAAAATAGAAACTTGACCATTATGAGACGATGAGCTCTCTTGCTACTGGAGCAAGCAGTGTTGACACTGTTTGTTACAGGTCTGATGGTGCTGACTGAAAGTCTTGCAGCACAATCCACTGTCACAACAATCCCACTGCGACTTTAGAGGTGTATGACGTCTCCCAAAAGCCCACAGACGGATACAAATATATGCTGTAATTATTATCATGGTCTATGTAAGGCTTTTGTGAGTTAAATTTAAGATTTTTTAAGGCCTTTTTATGAGAAAAATGAATTAAATGTTTTTTTAAGACTATTTAAAACCTGCAGGTGCCCTTTAAAGGTGCATATATTATTTAGGATAATATCGGTGTCAGTTTTCATGGTAGACATCTCGTAACACGTCAGATTACTGAATGGGAAATTTCGTCTTATAATAAAGTAGTAGTCTGTCTTCTGTTTTGCATGATTGTCCCTCTCTACAGTAGAGTCAGAGATCATGAAAAGCTGCAAATCACTGACTCTAGCGTGTTTAATACACTACACAAAAGTGGCCTGAACACAACACAATACACTGCTCGGGACAGACAGTGAATGAGGCGGTGCACTGACCTGTCCGTGGGATGATGATGATGAAGCAGCCGCTGCCGGCCAGCTGCCGGATGAGATTCAGATGCTGGCAGAGAGCCGCTGTGTCTGGCACCAGGTAGGGAGACATGGATGACTGGGCTTTAGGCTGCTGAAGGCTGCCCTCTAGCTGCGACACCTCCAACTGCAGGAACAGACAGGAAACGATCCAACAGCTGATAAGATGGAATTCATGCAGGATGTATTGTGTGGATTTCATGGACACAGGAATATGATTTAACTACCTGAGGGTTCATATAATGTTTGCACTACCTCCTTTACATGATTCTGGTGAGAGTTCGGTGAGATTTTCACAGATGTCAGCTGGTTCATGTTAATGTCAGCTGAACTACATGCCTCCTAACAACATCATGTTTCCCAAAGTGGATCTTAAACTCAATAAAAAAAAAGTCATGCAAATCAGTATTTGCATCCACAAAAACACATACAAATTTTTTTTACATTTTCTATCTCTCTAACTCTGCTCTTTCGGCAGTGATGACTGTGTCAGCACACAGCTCTGTCTATGCTGTATCACTGGGAAACACAGACAGGGTAAACACTCAGTGGAAAGAGCGATAATATTAAAAACCTGTAGTCGAAGCTGGGCCATATCCCTCATCAAGCGATTTCGACGAGCCTCCTCTTCAGCCTGGACAAACACAGATAAAGACAGGAGAGTCAACATCAAAAGGGACGGCTGCTTTGCTCAAAACTAAAAAACATTTTGATTCCAGGTCATTAATGAAGCATTCTTCACATTTATTTAATTCAACAGTTACACAACAACACACTTTTAACGGTCTAGACGCCACGCAAGATAATGAGACTTGACTGAATGCAGGCCCCCCTGTTGTTCTTCTTCCTTGTTCTGTTCAGACGTCACTCACCATTCGGAACTGGGCCTTCGCCTGCTGCACCAGATTATCCTGCTCGGATTGGCTGATGCTGGTGAAGATGCCCGCCTCCGGGTTGAAGTGCAGCACGTTGCCCTGGAGATTTGTCAGGAAGTGGCCAAAACTGCGAATGCAACACACTCGCACCACACACTGGAGGAGAGAGAAGAAGAAAATCAAGCTTTGATATGTTTGATAATTAAATACTGAGCTGGAGAAATGAGCTTCAGAAGGACTTTTACTCCAACTACAACATTTACTGTGTGTGTAACCAAGGGCACATGTGTGTGTCTTAATATGCTTTAGTGTCGAAACATGTCCTGTTAAAGGGACAGTCCACCCAATAATTACAAATACATTTGTTTTTTCTCTTACTCTCTAATGTAGATAGCTTTGGTGTGAGTTGATGAGTGTTGGAGATATCAGCCACAGAGAAGTTGGCTTCAATAAAACTAGATGGCACTCAGCTTGTGGTGCCCAAAGTGCCAAAAAAACAAATACATCTGAAAAACTCTACAGCAATGTCTCTTTACAGAAATCATGACCTGGTTACTCAAGATAATCCACAGACCTTGTTGTGAGCAGTTTCATGTAGGAACTATTTTCTTTCTACTTAACTACACCCACCAACTGTATCACTGCGCATCTACTCATGGACGAGAGGATTGTGCTTGTGACAGCGAGAGACGTAAACATTAATGCCGTCCTCCTCGGTCTAGCTGTAACGTTAGCTAGCTCAGTGGTGCTAGGTGAGCTAGCAGTAGATGCATACTTCCTTCTGAGCGACAGAATGATGACATATACTTATGTATCTTAAATTTATTATATAAACAATATGCACACCAACGTTTAAAGCTGCTCTAATTAATTGAGTTGACCAACACGAATGATTTCAGTTCCAGTCTGAATTAATTCAATTTTTGTCATCTCCACATTGCACTGCAGCAAGTAAAATTAATTTTTATCTATCTGGAAAAATGCTGGAAGCTACTATCTGCGCTTTGTGACACACTCTTGCTATCTGTTCCCAAAGTTTGTCTTGAAATGGGCAAAGGAGCTTTTAGGTTTGTTGCCCCTGCAGCCTGGAATCTGCTGCAGACTGAGTTGGGTCTTTGGGAGCAGGTCTCTGTAACTGTTTTCAAAAGTAGCTTGAGAGAGTTGGAGGTAAGTTCATCAGGCTGTAGATGCCTTGACTGAATATTTGCCCCCATGTGATGCAGGATATCTTGACCTGTTTTATTTTTGGTATGCTGTGATTCTAAAATTCATTTTTTATGGTCTGTTATCTTGTCTGCAACTTTGTTTAATGTGCTGCTGTCTTGGCACAGATGCTCTCGTAAAGGAGCTGATTAATCTCAGTGAGGTTTTTCCTGGTTGAATAAATTTTAAATTAAAAAGAAAAAAGTAAATTAGGTTTGGATTCTGTGTACAGGTTATCCTGATATATTAGTAATTATAAAAACATTCTACACTGAAAATAATTTTGTCTAGGATATTAACACTGCTTTGATATTTGCAAACATACTGGCTCAAAAAAAAGAAAACACAACTGGCAAAAATCATGCGCCATGATTCAATAAAATAAGCTGGTAACTGGCACGGTGGAGCTGATACCTTTTGGTGTTTTCCAGTATTTTTAGCCAGCACTGAACACATGTAAACCCTAAACCTTGTGTGTGTATCTGTGTGTGCGTACCTCCTGTAGGGAGCTGAGGGAGGGGTTGCGGCGAGTATAATCAAGGCGGCGGTGAGCAACGGTGAGAGCAGGCAGGTGTCTCAGAGCCAAATCCTCCGGCAGCAGCAGACTCTGGACCAAACCAGGCTGCTCACACTCATTTAACAGCTCCGTCACCTCTGCGTTCAGACCGAGCTCTGCAGCACACACATGAATAAATAAATAAAGGAGCTGTAGACTCAGACAACACACTCATGCACAGTGTGTAAAAATCACACAGGAAGACAAATATTCAGTGTGAGAGCTGAGTTATTAGCACTGTTTGTTAAGTGAGTGCACACAGTACAGGGATGAAATAAGAGCTCCGAGAGCAAATTCATATCACAATGATCAGAAGACATCATACATATAAAATATCTAATAATGTGTAACATCACATGTTAATCAGTGAATTAATCATGGACATGAAGTCTAAAACTCTAAATCTCATTTTTCAAAAGCTTGTAATTGACACTTGTTTTTTTCATACCAATACACAGATGTGTAGAATGAAACAGACTAAATAATAATATTGAAATGATAAAAATATCATGATCTTTATTAGGAACTTTGAACGGACTGTCTTTGACCACTCATTGAAAGGAACAGTTCAAAATTTTGGGAGATATGGTTATCTACATTGTTGCCAAGTGTTAGATAAAAAGACTGATGGCACTCCCGTGTCAGCAGGGGATTAATTTAGCTTATCATAAACACTGGAAACTAGGAAACAGCTGGCCTGGCTCTTTCCTATCTTAATTTCCAATTAACAGTTGTATCTGGGTAGTTTAATCTGTACAAAACCTGAGATGTAAAAACAGAGATTTCTATGCAAGTAAATATGTTGCAAAATGTGAGAGCTTGTCGACTTGATGTAAGAATTTAACTTAACTCAACCTGCTGAGTCAGCAAACTTTCTGTTGCTGTGGTTACTAGTGTTGCACGGTATACTGGTACCAATGGTAGACCGCGGTACTAAAACACCATGGTACATATGATACCATAATGTTGGAGTAACGTAGTACTACAGTACCTCATGGTACCACTACTGTGGGATAAGTTCAAAGTCCAATCACAACAGGGTGAGTGTCCATTCGCTGTCCAATACGGCGCGCGCTGGCCACCTGGCACTCAATATGCTGCTGCAGTAACATTTCAGGTATTAGCTGAGCTACTGAGGATCTTTAAGCGGTGAAAGTTATTATTTATTTAATTTTACTTGTAGGCTAGATTTGTTTATATGCTACAGTGATTTGTTTTCCACTACAGAGCTCTACGGTGCAAGCATTTTACTCGCATTGGCGACTAAAAATAGTTTTGTGTGAACAAAAGAAATCATTCAGGAGCACGCTGTGCGAGTACAGATTTCAACCAGCAGCAGAAACGAATGGCGAATCCTGCCGGTTGTGGGTTGAACGGGGGTCATAGACAGGAATACGGCGGCCATAGTGCTCCGCGGCGCAAGATAACGGCTTACTGGCGACCAAGAAGCCGGCTCCTGGTTCAATAATTTCCTCTTTATTGGTGTCATGACTGCCCAGAAATACCTGAACAACCGAGCTGTGGCGTCACACAGGTATGTGACGTGTCAGAGGAGAAACGAGCCGTTCACATTTCTCTCTTTGTGGCAGGTAACGGCCCACAAACCTCACCGCACTGAAGGGACTGTTCTTTACTTGTCAGGGGAGGAGGGTGGCTGGTTAATTTTTATTTTATTTATTTATTTTATTTTGATCCCCCCTATGTTAATCACTTATTGATGCTGTTTTTGAAGTATGAATAAGTCAATAAGTAATTTATTCCATTGAAATATCAGTGATGTATTATAGAAAAGTGATTTATCTTTTTATAAATGACAAAAGGCACATCTGCCTGATTTTTGCTGTGGTATCATGATACTACTCAGAACCGTGATACTTTCACTGGTATTGTACCGTGGGTCCCAATTTTGGTACCGTGGGTCCCAATTTTGGTACCGTGACAACACTAGCGGTAACACAGATTAGACCCATCACTGCTGCTGGTCACCAGCCCTATTGTGACACCCAACGCTGAGAAGAGTTGTGAAAAGAGTTTGCACTAGCTGAATTTGACTACAGCTGCTCACTGAAGGTTTGTCTCCAGAACTGCTGCCACTCACCTCCTTGCAAAGTGATCTCCTTACAGTGGGAAGTGAGGTAGAGGGACCGCAGGGTGCGCTAGCTTAGCAGTACTCAACCTTTTTCATGTCATGGAACCCTGTTGGTCCCGGACCCCTAGTTGTGCTAGCTAGTAGGCTTGTGCGGGTTTGAAAATTTTCCAACCGGTTTGATTTAAAGCCAAATATCTAACCGAACCGATATATCGAATTATATACCTAATTTTACCACTGGGGTCGCATTCGAGCTATTTCTCCCAATAAAAGCCCATTATAGGTGTAATGCGCTTCCAATCCACTAGGTGGCGGTAATGCTGTATTAACCGCCAACACACAAGGTTACACAAGAAGAAGAAGACGCAGAAGGACACCAAGGAACCTTCCTCCGACTCCGCTATCTCAGTGGAAACACGGCGGATGAGAGGGCAGAGCAAGAGGACGTTCCTGTAGTAGTTCCAGCCCCCCAAATAGTACCAGGAACTTCTTCAGTGGAAACAGGTTACTAGGTCAAATGACTGCTAAAGTCTGATTTATGGTCCTGCGTTAAATCAACGACGTACCTACGTCACGCCGTCGTGAACCCTTCGAACTTCTCCGTCACTCCATTTCGTAGCGGTGCAATTCACCGCCAGAGCGGTAGGGGGCTGCGTTCCTTTCCTGAATGGTTATCGTCATCTCTAGTTGATTCTTTGTTTAGCTTCCGGCTTGGTCCATGCTCCGTCCGTGTACAGCAACAAGATGCTTAAAGATGGCGGGGATGGCGCAATCTGGAAATACGGAACCGGAAATGCGTTGCTACCAAGAAAACCAATCACAGCCCTATCGGTCTGTGCTGGGTCTGCGTCGCCTCGACGTGTAGTTACATTTTTTGGGAGGTGCATGTCAGGCTACGCCGGGGGCTACGGCGAGCCTCCTGTGTAGCCACGTACCCTACGACGTAGGTACGTTGTTGATTTAACGCAGGACCATAAATCAGGCTTTACTCCCTCGAACTTTTCCCCGCCCCCAATGAAATTTGATCTCTCACAGCAGCAGCAGACAGCTGAGCGGAGCGGAGCTGAGGAGGAAGCCTCTTGAGACAAACTAAACAAAACACTTGTAGGCTCCTCCACTTCATTTACAAACAAACATAAACCTTATTAAGTTGTCATAATGCATGTTACAATACAACATAAGTTGAATATAGTCCCTTGACACACCGCCGATGTGAAAAGCCTTTTTTTTTTTCTCTCCCCCGGTTTATCTGGTTGACGTGAATTAAACTGGGTGGAGCTCTTAAACCGGACCGAACCAGTTAAACCGGAAATCGGCACAAGCCTAGTAGCTAGCTAATTCTTGTCTCATTCTTGGTCTGATGAGCTGTCTATTCCTCAATTTCAATTCCCAATATCTCCATTTTCCAAGCTGTAGAAGTGTTACAAAAGTCCAGGCACGCAGATTTGTCACTTTGGAATGTAAGAGAGCAACTTTGTGAAGCTGCAGTGACTGATTTGGGGGGTTGTTACCACCAAGTTTGGCTGTACTCAAGTAAATAAACACACACACACACACACACACACACACACACACACACACACACACACACACACAAATGTTGGATTACAGGTTTGCAATTCTCCTTGTATTTATGTAAACATCTAAACATTTGTATCTGTGACTTCTCATTCAGAAAACTGGTGAATGAATATTTTTCATGAGTGAAAATTTCAGCATACAAGTTTCCATTTTTCTACGAGCTCCCATGTGTTTTTTTGCTTTTCCTCTGACTTCCACGTCAGTGCACATGATGTGTGAATATTTTGTAAAAGTGAAAACTGAAACATACAAGTTCAGATTTTTGTTCACACATCAAGTCTTGAAGCTCTCGCAACTTGCAACACATTTACTTCCAAGGAGTTGTGGCTTTACAGGTTGTGACATGCTGAAACTATTTCTTGGCCTCTTCATTGTTTTTACCTTTGGACAAAGCCAGGCTAGCTGTGCCCCTGTTAAGCAAAGCTAATCACCTGCTATTGCTAGCCTTTTATTTAGCATACAAATATTAGAATGGGACCAATCCTCTCATCCAGTTCTTGGCAAGAAGGAAAATAAAAGTAATGTTCCCAAAATGTTTTACAACTCCTTTAAATGAGCGGTCTAGGTAATGTCTTCACTCTGTGCCTCACAAGACATTTTAGAATTAGTGGACCCAGTGGGAATAAAACCTCGATAGTGTTGTGCCATGCTGTGCCTACTGAGCCATACAGGAGCGTAAATCTTTATGCAGTGTATCAGTAACTCACCAGCCTCGAGCATCTTGCTGCCATCTGGTAGCAGGTTGAGCAGCACAGACAGTCGGTTCCACAGGCTTTGAGAACTCTGCAGGCAGAATGAAGGAGTTTGTTAATCATACACTGAAAATGACAAAATTTTGTAGAAGAAAAAAAAAGCCGGACATTCTGCCCCCTCACCTGTGCACACATGAGGATAATGTCTGTGTTTGTCCTTAGCCAATCAACAAAGACCTTCACCACCTGGATCAGCCCCTGATTGGCCAGGATCTCCAGCTTCTCTAAGAGGGTTTTCTCACTGTGCATTGACTGGGTGCTGTGTTGGCTGCCTTCTGAATCCGAGTCCAAGTCTAGAGGAGGGGACACAAGACGAGTTTGATTTCGGCAAAGTCACATTTTGAGTTCTTCGTGAATATCCAATAAAAAAGGAACAGATGAAGAAGAAAACGTCCTGAATAAGTAACTGGGAAAAGCACACAAAAAAAGACACGTTACATGTAACACAGAGGCAAAAAGCACATTACCGTTTTCATTGGTTCCGTTGGCAGTACCAGGGTTCATATCACAGGTTGAGTCCCCGGGAGGAGGGGGTGTCTCTTGGGAAGGGGGAGCAGAGGCGTCAGAAGGGGTGGGAATACCTGATGAAGATGAGGCTTGAGGCCTCAACAACATGTTGCTGAAGGTTGGCGCCAGGCGGAAGCAGCGCTTTGCCTGGAAGAGTTGGGAGGACATGGCCTGGAGGTTACTGCTGATGCTGGCGTCGCTGGGCATGAGAGGCCCGTTGGTGGTTGGAGGTGTATCACCGTCCCTGTCGCCTCCTTCTTCCTTGGGCTGGTCTTCTTCTTCCTCTTCATCCTGGTGTTCCCGTGCCTGACCCTCCAAGTTGTCTGAGTTCTCCGTGTCCTCTATGTCTTCCAGGTCCGAGCGAGACTCCTGGCTGTTCATGTCCGAGTCAGTTTCTACATCGAACGCTGTTCCCCCTTCCTCCTCCTCTTCCTCTGAGCCACTCCCCCAGCTGCCCTCCTCACCCAGGGGGTCTCTCTTAGTCTCCTTTCTGATCGAAGGAGGATTGAGTGGGGTTCCTGTCGTGGTGGCGCCTGCTGAGTCAGCGTGACCCCTCCTCTCGTCATCCTCATCTTCATCCTCTTCGCTCTCAAAGCCTTCGCTCAGGTCGCTCTCATCCTCCCCTCGAGTGTCCTTGCGGGCGCAGCGGCGTCGGCGGAGCCTAGAGAGGCGGGTGTACTTCTTTTTCTGTCTCTGCTTCTCTTCTTCCAACTTGCGCTGCTCTTCCACGCTGCAGTGCTTTTTGGCGCCAACCCTTTTACAGCCATCTTCATCCTTCTCCTCCTCCTCATCTTCTTGCTCCAGGGAGCCGTTCTGCAGAGGCTTCTCATCAGAGCGATCTGTCGCTGGGGCTGACAAGTCCCTCATCTCCAGGTCATCTACATTAGAAAAGAAAAATTCAGTGTTTTTTTGTGTCCATTGAGTTTGTTTGTCTCTTTTAACAACATATTCCACATTACATAACTAATATTGTCCACTGGGATAGTCTCGAAAAAGCCTGCCAGAAGAAGTGAATAAATATGGTCAACTTTAAGCTGCTCTTGTCTTGCAGAAACTTTACTTACAGCTGTACTTCTACCAAAAGATTATATTTTAAAACCACAAAAAGCAGTGCTTTAATCCTAAAATATGTTGCTAATGAGAATACACCAGGATTTATGTATTGATCTATGTTTGTTCTATGTTACAAACACAGGCTGAGAGACTGAACTACCTTCCCCGCCATATATGGAGACAGAGATTTCCCCTCTCACCTGTGGCGTCAGTGTGAAGTTGGGGCACCTGGCTCTCCGCTTCCTCCAGCTCAGCCTGCAGCCGGATGTTGACGTGGTTCACCAGATGGGAGAACAGGGCCAGAGTAAAAGCTATGGACGCACTGTACTGCTTCGATCCTAAAGACACAGTGCAACATTTGTTAGTACAAAAAAATTTTTTTTTATTTGAACTGTTATTTGAACAAAGGCCTGGTGATAAGCAATGCTACTAGACAGCAATTCCTAGGGTAGACCGAATCATGTACAGATAAAAGGAATCAGCTGATAAATTAAAAAAATAAATAACAGAGATGTTGTTACCATTCTATACTGTGTCCTCCAGAGAGTAGTAACTAGTTTATTTTTAACTGAAAATGTCCTGCCCAGCTCATCTCATTAAATTCACTCATTAACAAAACAAAAAAAAATATCAAGGAAACCTCATCTAAAATGTTTATTTATATTATGGGTTGTGCAAAGAAAATGTATTTTGGCTGATATCTCTTGAGATTTTTTTCAAAAGTCGAGTGCTATGTTTCTCAAATGGGAATACTGGTATTCCTGGGGGGTACTTTGTAGTATTGCAAAGGGTATGTGAATTTTTTAAAAATGTTAATTTGAGAAATATCAGTCATGCATAATTCCTAAAATAAGTAAAAATAATTTCTCCTGCTTCCTGCCACAGTCCAAAGACATGCAGGTTAATTGGTGACTCTAAATTGCCCGTAGCTGTGAGTGTGAGCATGTATAGTTGTCTCTCTCTCTGTGTCAGCCCTGTGATAGTCTGACGACTTGTCCTGGGTGTACCCCAACGCCCTCTCGCCTAATGTCCAGCCCCCCACAACCCTAAAGCGTATAAGCAGTTACAGATATTGAATATTTTCAATGCAGTCTTAAACTCTTAACAACTGCTCCAGCAAACACATTCATCTTTTATGTTTACATCTGGCGGTAAGGTTGAAGAACTGAAACTTCCTTTGTGTGCCAAGCGTGTGGGAGAACTATGGTGGCTGAGGCAAAAATGCAAATGGCCCTATCTAGAGCCAGTGTTTGGTTTGTTGGTTCTGGGCTACTGTAAAAACAACATGACAGACTCCATCGAGGAGGACCTGCTCCATATGTAGATATAAATGGCTCATTTTAAGGTACCAAAAACACGACAAGTCTTATTTCAGGAGGTTATAAACGAATGAAAACAGTTATGAATATCATATACCTTGTCTGCCAATATATCCCCCAAAGTCCTACCCACTGGACTTTAAAACTCAGTATCAGTCCAAATATCAATATTAGTATAGGCATCAGAAACCCTGTATCAGTGGAGCTTTAAGAAAAATAAAAACTTTCTGTAATATGTACTTCTTGAGATTTATATTTTTAATTTCATGCTAGTGTCCAAATTTCAGTCTGGGAGTCAATCCATCATAGATCCTCTTATGATGGCAAGAGACATGGACTAATTCAGTGGGTGTTTTGTGAGGCCTTCTTGGCTAGTTAACTGCACAGCTCCACAAAAATAAAATTAAAATCTGGTTGGTGTCTTCACCCCCTTCTACTCGTTATTCCAAGCCTCATCTGACCTGGATATGCAGGCCCACTGTAGATTGTAACAGCTTTTTAAGGGGCATTTACAGAAAAACTTTACTGTTTGTTCACTACTCTTTTATAGTTATCATTTAAAAACCCAAAACATCCTTCACATCACACTAACACTAACCTCCCCTCTTCAGGCTGTGCACCACCATCAGACAAGTGACCACCATCTTGAAGACGAGGGTGTCAGGCAGCACGGGGCAGGAGCTGTCAGCGTGCTGCTGCTGCTCCTCCTCTTCCTCGCTGGGGGAGTGGTGAGCAATGCCATGTGTCGGCGGCGGCAGGTAAAACAGCACCAAGTTGAAGTCCTCCAGCACCGACTGGCAGAGTGACGTCAGCTCCGTCTCCATCAGACTGGATACAGACAGAGGAGAGGAAGCAATAGCATAAAAAGGATGCACTGAAAATACAGGTGAGCACTATTCATTAATGAATAATCCAAGGAAAACACTGCAGAGAATCAGTGGACCAGGGGTCACGATATGCTCACTTTTTGTCCTTCATATATCTTTTTTTTCCCCCGAACATTTCACAGACAGTAAACACTCAAATCTGTTGACCTGTGTCCACACTTCACAAAACCAAATATTTGATTTTAATATCACTTCTGCAGGTGAGAGGTTAGATACTATAGATGGACTGATTTGATAATAACTAAACACACAAACTGTACCACACTGTGCTCATATAGTCTTGAAGGAACACTTTTCCCACAAAATGATCGACAACCTTGAATTCATGAAGAAAACTTTGTCGTATGCCTCCACGGTGAACGAAGAATTCAAAAAATGAGAAAATTCTTGTTGAACTGGAGCACAAGCGGTCACAACCTCAAGGGCTGAAAATGAAGCCAACACTAAAGAGCCAAAAACTGTTTCTTTGAACGGCCGCTTGTCCCCACAGACCCCCCCGTGTTAAAATGCTCAACTTTACAGCCGAAATAAACAGCCTGATACAAAAAACGGTTTTGGTCTCTGTAGCTAAGTTCCCCTTGCATGACAACAGTACGTGGGGTGAATTTTCATATAACTCATGCATTTACATTTGATTAAAGCTTAAAGTTATGCACAATTAAGGGCGGGCTGCTTTGAGTCACAGGCTGTCTGCCATAGTGCCCTCTGTTTCTCAGTCACATCCACCCCTCGCTCCTCCACAGCACCAGCCTCTCGCTGATGGCAACGGCCGTTAAGCTGAACGTGAGGCTTCAAAATGGGATTCCACAAACCAATGTGTGACATCATGTTAGGCTAAGTCCATTATTTCTACAGTCTATGATGCTTGGCCAAGCGTGCCACTCATCCATGTGTGAGACTGTTTGTGCCGAAATGTTTTAAATAATAATGTTAAGCAAAATGTATGTGTTTGAAAAGTACTGAGCATACAGCTGTGTAAATGAGACTGGAATTATACTGTATGAGTTGTGTGAGAGTATGAAAAGAGTTTTTGATGTACTTTTGCTGTTGTTAAAAGTGGTCTCTTTTTTTTTTTTTTCTTAAGAGATATTTTTTGGAGCATTTGCCTTTAATGGACAGGACAGTTTGAAGAGGGGAGAGATAGAGAGGGGGGATGACATGCAGCAAAGGGCCACAGGCTGGACTCAAACCCGGGTCGCTGCGGCAACAGCCTTGTACATGGGGCGCCTGCTCTACCCACCAAGCCACCGACGCCCCAAAAAGTGGTCTCTGTTTACTTCAATTCATTAAAAACTTCCTCCCTTTTTGGATTCTTCGTTCACCGTGGAGGCTTGTAAGAAAAACAAAGTGCGATCCAAGTAAGCACGAGCACTCTCACCTGTTCTTGGGCTGCAGCAGACTCTGAAGGTACATGAAGCTCACCAAGAGGCGCTTAATATCTTTTGATCTGCAAAAAAAAGTCATGCCAAAATTAAGGAAATCATAAATACAGATATTATGACTCTGTATCTAATTCTCCATGTCCATTAAATATTGTCATGTTTGTGAAGCACTTGTGATTGTGGTGAAATTATCAAAGCAAAACATTTTTTTTACAGAAACAGTGGTGTGTTGAATGTCCTGTTGGTGCATGTTGGTACTCTTATCAGTGCTTTTACTATTGCTGAGACATTCTCTGTGTCCTCTGAGTAATTAAACACAAAAATATTGAGAACAGGGAATGTTTAAAAGCAAGCTACTTTGTTTTTTTAATGCTGAGAGTTAAAGAAAAGATTGATACTACTCTCATGCCTGTACACTACATGTGAAGTTTGAGCCAGCAGCCTTTAGCAAAAAGAATGGAAGCCGGAGGGGAAACAGCTAGTCTGGGTCTATCCAAAGGTACAAAGGTTATATCTTGTTTGTTTAATTTGGACACAAACATAAGTAACACAAGTGTGGAATCTCTTCATCCCACCCAAATAAGCAAAGAGGCTTAGTTCCCAAAATGTGGATAACAGATGTGTTATATCTATGGTGTTGCAAAAGATTTTCTGTATATCACAATATATATAATGTAGCACAATCTGGTGCAAAAAGTTTTCACACCGTACACATCACACCTAAGTGAAGTGTTATTTGTATAAATGAAACAACAACAACAGCATTGTTTTGTGTCCAGGTGGCAAAATAATGTGTTAATCTTATTTGCTCCATGCACACTGGTAATCTAAATAATCCCATAATAGACAGGCAAGATGACCTATATTTATGCTTTTTCCCTCCAGAGTTTTCTTCAGCACACCAGGCATTATCTCTCAAACTGTTTATTTACATGCTTCATTTGTATGCATATTTGTCTGTTATTCCTACTGATTCCTGTAACTTTTGTTGCTTCAACAACCTAATTTCCCCACGGGGATCATCAATTATCTAATCCAATCTGCAGAGAGATGCTGCTTCATCCCACCACTGGTTAGAGCGCCTTTGTGATTCAAACGGCGGCCAGGCGGGTCGGTAATTATGTGAAACCCCAGATGTCAATTGGGACTAGATTAAAATTACTCTGGGATGTCAGCACACTGAAGTCAAAATATTCTGTTTATTTTAGAGGGGTTTTTTTTCCCACCAGGCAAACCTGAAAAACCATTAGTAATTACACCACTGCTGTCCAGAGAGGGCTCGTGATCAAAGGAGGCCTCAGAGGAACTTTGTGTTTGTGTTTCTTGCGACTCTCCTATGAGTACTCCTCACCTTTGTCGAGATGGAGACAGCTTCTTCATTTCCTGCTTCTTCACCTGGTGGTACATCTTGGCGGCTTTGTCAAACAGACGCTTCAGGTTGCCATAGGCACCCTCGAAGGGGGCATCTGATTGGATGCTAGCACAAATAAAATATATGTTAAGTTAAACTTATTGGGTTGTAATTCAGTTCTAAACATCACACATAACTTAACATAAACATTCCTCACCAGCGTAGGTAGTAGTAGGTTGCTTCAACGTTGTAGAACTTGCTCCCGGCCAATGTGCCCAGTTGGTTAAAAGGCATTCCTGTAGAGAGGCGGGTGAGGAAATGAGTAAACCGGACTGAGAATCATTACCTAATGTTCTGTCTAATAACCAAATGTCCTGTTCAATCTGAAAAAATAAAGCTAATGCATGTGATGTAAGGCTGCCCCCTGAAAGTCAAAGACTTGAATCATCAGTTGGAGACCCCTAGTCAACTGAGACTTGTCAAATCGAGCAGTTGGGGATTTTTTTTTGGTCAGTCAAGTGTGCAGTGTACTTCTGTGTACATTTTGGTCCCCAGATATAGCTGCAGAGTGAGCGCCACTCGCTTTCATGCTGCTCTCCAGTACAGGCAGCTATGGACCCAGACCCAGGGTGAGTCTGACTGAGAAGCTGCCAGAGGAAGAGAGGCAATGCCCATTCAGCCTCCAACATAATGTTATCTTCTGCCTTCTGCTTAGAAGTGGTGAATATACAGCTCACAACAAGACAATGCAGTCTCTGGCTTCTGTTTAATATCTGCTGTCGCCAAAAAATGTTGCACCGTAGTTAGCATGAATTAGCTTGGAGCGCTAACTTGGCTTGTTTACTATATTATGTTAACGTTGTTGTCATCCTGAACGTCACGTCGTACCCTGTTCAACCTCTTTAACTCTATATGTAAATAAATAACAAAGTCAAATATTCGTATTGAGCGTCTAACTCCAATTTGGCAGACATAATTCTGAGCTGTGTACAGCCTTGTCAAAATGTTGCAGTGCTATAAGCCAAGATTCGGACACCAAAACACTTTGGACATTCACTCATTTTCCGTAACAGGCCATGTTGTTGAGCTAGTTTGCTGTCTCTGTCATGTAGGTGTCCATTAGTCATTCACTCTGCAGCAGAAAACGACACTTCAAAATAAAAGCTCTAAGCTGGAAATTTACTGTACTTAAAAATTAAGTGTCTTTTTACAAACTTGACATTTTTGCTAGTCTCCTGTGGTCCTTTAAGAATGGACCTGCAACCCACTGCACTAAAGCATACAGTTCTGATCAATGTACAAATTCCACCTATCAGCACCTTTAAAGCTTGCTAATCAGCACAAAAACCCTACAATAAAAATGTCAATAATACTAACATTATATATAATAACAAGCTGCTACTACAAGTTACTTGTCCTAGCTAAGAAATAGTCTGGCAAACAACTGCCTGTGAAACGACAAATTGTTGTTCTTAAAGTAGGTTTTTGTACAGATTAAAAGAGCCAAGACATAATGTGTTCAATAGTGAGTTTTAGATGAGATGGTAGGTAGATTTTGTTACCTTTGGACAGAGCCAGGCTAGCTGCCCCCCCCCCCCTTTCCAGTCTTTATGCTACGCTAAGCTAAGCTAAACAGCTGCTAGCTCTAGCTGCATATTGAGCTTACAGATGTGAGTGGTATGGAGCTAACCAGTGTTAAAACACATAATATATTTGCAGTGTAAACATCACATTCCTCCACAGTAACATTATCAAGAGAATTAACAAGTGTAAGTGTTCGTCTTTAAAAGCTTTCTTTTTCTATTGAACAACAGAGTTTTAACACTTTTGTCACTGTTACTGCTCGTCATAGAATCACGCCTGATAAAAGCATTTTCCAAGCTTTCTAGAAGCATCATGTTCCTGCCACTCTCCAGCTCAGAAAACACATACTTTACCAGCTTCTCCCCGACCATGGCAACAGCAAAGTGCTGTGTTATTAAGAAATCTAACATTACAGTCACTCACCCACGTGTGGCATGACAGACAGCGCCTGATGGTAAAACCTTTCAGCCAGCTGCTCAGCCTCGACTCCGGCAAGTTCATTCTGATAACGGGCTGCACAGGAAACATTGAAGTAACAGAAAAAGTAACAAACGTTAACAACAAGATGGACTTTGGCTGAAAAATAAAAAATGTTCACAGGTTCAATTAAATTTTCTTTTATCTATCCAGAGGCAAACCGAAAATGGTGCAGACATAATTCCATTTGCTTAATAACTGTCAGCTTAATAATGAAAAATCAATCAAAATGCTGATATCTCTGTATCACATAAGTCTGAACCAACCAAACAGACTCCTGCCAATTATGCGCTATAGCTTTAGCCAAAATTTCCCACGCTGAATGACACACACATGCTGTCTCACACCTCTAGAAGCTGGGTTGAGAGATAGAATAATTGCACAGTCTATTATCATGTTATTACCTAGATCTCCAAGGTAGACCAGACAGCGATGACAGGCCATCTGTGCCCACTCCATCTCCTTGGGGGTGGCTGACACTGGTTTCTTTCGGCCTGCGGGGAACAATTACACAATGTGTTTTTTTTCCCTTTCATTTAAAGCATTTAGCTGATGCACTTATGGAAAATGACTTGGAATTATGTAACCAAAGAGCTTAAATTCCAGCAAAGCAACGATTTGCAAACAGCAGATTGTTTGAATGTATGAAACAGCACCTTGTTATTTCTTGATAACATAAATTTAGTAGTAGGAGTATTCAGCCCCTGTTGTCTGAGGGTTTCTGAGGCAAAGGACAAGCACCAGCTGCACAGAACCACATACTTGGGCGACCCTGCACCTGTCTATCTTCGCTGACAATAGACTGACTTGGCACTTCTCCACCCATTTGTCTGCTTTGCATCATACAAGGGAACACCGACATCTGATACGAGACTGAATTAAGACAAGGGACACATAAACACCTGGTGTAAATGCAACTGTGTGACCACACTATTCATTATCTGGAGTGTGAAAGTACCAGCTGTAAGTGATGGGCATCTTTCCAGGGGACCCTTTCAGGGAGTTTGAGCAGTGTGAATATCAAATCCACAAGTTTCAAAACATGTATAATACCATGCTGAATGGGATTTACACCCATTTCACAAGTGTAGTAAATCTAAATGGTGCAAAGGTGGCAAAAGCAATGCGTCTGTGCAGGTTCATTTCTCCCTAGAATTGAGTGCTTTAACATTATCACAAACTATTTTGTAAAGAAAAAGATTTTGTGTTGTTATAGCAGGAAAAGCATAGGTCAATGATGGCTCTGTTTCAGGCCACGTCCACACTAATACACTTAAATTTTAAAACAGCATTTTGAAAGGAAACGATCTCCATAAACAACGGTGTGAAATTGTCATGGTACAATTACCGTCTCAGAAAATATTGCGGTTTCACAGTATTACAGAATTCGTATTATAATAACTTTGTATAACCCTTAAAGGAATGAATATGGAAGTATGAGTAAAAAGTCTCCCCTTTGAAATTAACTATAATAAACCGATAAAACCAGTTTGCTGCAACCCTAGTACATGCAAGCATTTCAGCAGTGCTTCAGAAATAATCTCCATCTTTATTAACTCGCCTGAAAACACATACCACATGACCATTTACATACACTAGGCGTATGTGCTGATGTAAACAGGAAGCAGACTGTCTACTCTGAGGCTGGTTGCTTGGTTACAGAAAATACTACAGAGATGGCGAAAAGTAAGACCAGAGATTTCTTTGCGTAGACCGACGATGAAATGAACTGTTACTGAAAGAAACACGTGAGTATAAAGCAGGAGAAAACAGACTGGGAGTTGTTACAAAGCAAATATTAAGCCCAGTTCAGAACAAAGATTCACAATGAGACAAAACTGATTTTGAATGCTGCAGAGAAAAGTTGCAGCGGCGTGAACTGGCCAGTCTGAGCTTGATTCAAGCCGGCTGATGGTGTCATCTGCAACTCAGCTGGTCAAATTGCCGGGCGGCTGGTTTTAGAACGTAAAGCACGTCACCTGTTTCAACAGCCAATTGGCTTGGAGTGAAGTCCGCTGGTCAAGTCAAAATGACCGAAGACAGTGTGTTCGCTTGCTGTTTCCTGCTAATGGTGTGTCTGTGTCGGAGGGTGAGTTGCTGCTCCTGCTCGCTGTATGTATGTTTATTATTAATACAGTCCATCTGATGCTTGTTTTCTTTGTTTTTTCTACTGTTTCATCACTACTACAAATGCAGCTGTAGCCAGTATCTCACTATCACTATCCTCATTCATATTTTAAGAAGCTACAAATTATATTCAGCCACAAAATAAACCTGAAAAGCTGCAAATCAGAACAGAAGTACAGAGAGTTGTTGCATAGAGATGATACACCATCTCATCTAGTTGTATTGGTGTGAACCGGCAGGTTTTTAGAACGTTGCAGAACGGCACATTGCACGTAGTTGCCTGTTTCAGCTCGTCACGTCCAGAATCCATGGTTTGAACTGGGCTTCAGAGAGGTACCAGGAGCATGATCCATCGCTGGGGAAGCCATGGCAATGGGAAAGAGTACCCACACAAGAAGGATGAAATCACAAGAGGTATGGAGACTTAACTATAATGTTTTGACTTGACAAGATGTGACTGATAAGACATAGTTGGGAAGCAAACATGAATGTCTGCATCATGGTTTTCGAAAGTCTCTTGTTTCCATGCGTCCAGATTAGAGTTTTCAAACCTAAAGAGGGTCAGCAGCATTTTCAAAGGTCTGCATTTTAGTGATTCCAAAACGCCCAAGTAGTATGGACACTGGGCATGAACGCAGCAATAGTTATGCGTTTTAAAATGAAGACGTATCAATGTGAATGTACCCGTATTCTTGTAAGTGTTCTGGTAGGCAAATAAGGTGAACGGACATGCACAATATCAGGATCTTAAAACCGGCACAGGGACATAGAATTTATTCCAAGAAAGACTTGTCAAAACATCTTCAGTGAAAAAGGCCTAAAGGTGATCAAGATTTCTAAATTTAATCAAAAGATATCCAAAATGTGGACAAGCATATTTACAACCATATATGTGTGAATATTATACATCATTCAGAAAAACATTTAGTTAGAGATGTTTGAATTCTATATCTGTGTCTTTGTATGAATGTGTACTTTGCGTATCTGACCTATCAACGGGTCTGTGACGTGGGTCCAGTCGATGCAGTCCTGCAGCTCCAGCTGGTAATGTGACTGGATGTATAGCAACAGGTGCTGGTAGAACCCCACGCCGGCGATCAGGTGTGTGCGGTAGGCACACTCCAGAGCGCTGCGGCTGTGGATGTGCTACAGTAGAGGAAAGAGAAAGAAAAGAGAGGAGCCAATACATTAAAGATATGACCAGAGCAACAATAATAAACTCTGTTAGTTTACGATAAGCATTAACAAAGTACAAAAGCATGGAGCAATGAAATATACTGTCACCAAAAAGCTACAACACCACCAGACAGCCTTAAAAAGAGGATCAAAAACAATGTAGCAGAACCAAATATATCATCTTCTTCATGCCACGCAGTCCTCTTCCTTGTCAAAACATGACGCCAACATTACCCCCAATGTAACTTTAACAATGACAGCTTGTTTGTAGATTCAAGTGTGTTACACTACTGGCTGACACAGCCTCCAGCCACTAGCCTAAAGCAGCGATGAGGAGCAGACTACAGAGGTCTAATAAACTCACTTCTGTCTAGCTTTAACCCCCACATATTCTTCATTTTTAAATTTACAGTCTGATGCTAACTCAAGAAGCATCACTTATGGACATTCGTCAGATTGTGTGCAGCAAGAGACTTTATGACTTATACAAATTAAAACAAACAAACAAATGAGCAACAATGACTAAAACTCAACTGCTGATAACATTAAAACATGTTCATGATTCCAGTTCACAAGCATCTGAATCACAGTACACACTCACTACATTATTATTACTGAATTAAATACAGAAATGATCCAGTAACATTTGATAAGGCCAATAATGTTTGATGCTTTTCCTATGTTGGTCCAACAGCAGAGCAAAGCGCCAAAAGTGACATTTTCAGAGGTTTGATTTCCACTGGGATCACTCAGGCAGAATATGCACACACTCTTGGCACTCTGCGAGGAACGTTACATCCCACTGACCACAAAATGGCAGATGTCATGGTGGCGTTGACCTTTAAGTGGCAGCCAGGATGCCAAGCCAGCCAACAACAGAAAAACTGGTTGTCTCATACATGCTGCATGGGCCAGTTACCTTCTTGTTGGTCTTGATAACTTGGATGACCTCATAGTAAACCTTCCTCCAGAGCAGCTCCTCAGCCTTGCGGCCGTAGTCGACAGGGTGGAGGAACATCAGCTTCACGCAAAGCTCCCTCAGCCTGGAAACACACAGAAGGAAAAGCAGATACACATGCATAAGTTAAGGAGGTAGTTGGGTCACCGGTTTGACAAGTGGACCAATGAGTCAACCTAGTTTCACAGGAACAGGTGGGGCTATGCAGAACAGAAACACCTTGCAGGATACATACTGGAATGGTGGGCTGTTTGTCATGATAAATCGAGATAATGAAAACAATCATGCAGCCCTACTTTATAGACACTGCAGTTAGTAATAACAGATTATTCGAGTGCTGTCGGACAAATATCACTAATGAGCATGCCTTTCCTTTCTGTGACTCACGTGGTCTGTGTAAACTGATTCAGAGTTGTTCACCAGAATATTGTGAAATCTCAGTCCGCACTTTGTGTGCAGCTGATGACAAGATTATGTTAATTCAGTTAAGCAAGTACATGCAGTATTTGTCATTATCGCCTCTTTGAAGAGATGCTACTTCCATTATTTAATGCTGAAGATGATAATATAACACTCAACATATGAGCCTCACACTGGTGTCAAATTATCATATATGCAAGTCAAGTACAATATATGACCACAGCTCTTAGATTAAATGATGTCCTGGGGGAAGTGACACTTGTGGATACGTTTAAATACAGGTGAAATCCTCCCAAAATATGTGCATTGGAATTTGCCACATTCATGGGTAGTAGTGGAAATGCATATGAAACAAATGATAAAAGTGACATTTTTAAATGCCTCACTCGTCAAACCAAGCGTCCAAAACCCAAAGACAGCCAGTGTACTATCATATATGACAATGAAAAGCAGCAAATCTTCACAGTTAGAAACTGAAACTAGCAAAAGTTTGGCACATTTAATCAAAAAATGACGGCACCTCAGCTCTACATGCAGTCCTGACCACAAGGAAAGTTTGCCTCATCAACTTTTTATACTGCATATTGCTTCGCAAGGCAATCACTGAGCAAAACAAGACATTATCTCCTCCGTCTCTCCCTCTGTGTAGACACATGGCCAAGTCTCGCTTTCACATTTACCAGCAACTTCCTCTTTCTCAGCTTTTGTTTCATTGTACCCAGTATGAAAATAACAACTGCAATCCTGCTCACAGGCTGAGCCGCTGAGCACAAAGCAGTATCTTTATTATCATTTATTTTTGTTTAGCCTTACAGTGATCACAACTTCTGATAGACAGAACCAAATCATTATATTTAAGCACACTGTGATGTACAATGTGCACACAGAATATCAGATCTGTAAACTCAGGAGACATGCAGGCAATCCCAGTTGAACACACAGCTAAACAGAGGGGTAGTCACAGCTAAATGAACTGAAGCTAAGCGATCAGCAACTGGTTACATTCAGAATTTTATCTAGAACAACTGTCCAGATGTTTAACACTCCTGCCTCCCTCCACACACACACACACACACACACACACACTGCTGAGACAGCTGGACCTACTTGTTGCGAAGGCTGATGTTCTCCGGCTTGAAGACCTCTCTGTAGGATGCTTTGCTGCCGATGATGACATCCAGCTTATGCACAGACTCCACCACAGCCCTGCGTAACATGAAGCAATATGAACATTAACATTATGACAAGGGTAACGCCGTGATCTAAACAATCCCGAGGAGGCTATCATAGTGCCACAATCCTTTCTGTTCCCTTTGTCACAAACGCACTGATGACACTTGCAGCTAAATAATGATTTGCTAACATAAGCTACACTTCCACAAAACATGATGACTACCCGGTCAGATTTAGCTGAAGCTGCGCTGACTGGGTATACAAGGAATGTGTGGCTACTCACAGTCGTGACAGCTTACTGAAGAGAAGAATAGATGGACCCTTTCTTGTGATAACAAACATTGATTGGCTAGCAGCTAAGTTAGCCAGCACAATAACGTCCACTTAGCACCTTGGTTAGCTAAGCAAAACGGCCTCGCCAACTTACCTGTAAAGCCGCTTGATGAGAAGGACTTTCGCCTCTGGATCACTGTCCTGACCCGGTCCACTCATGTTAACGACTTGCCGGTTATTTGTTCACACGCTCCAGCGTCTGGTCAACCGCTTCCTTCAGCCCTCCGGACCGCACAGTTGTCAGGGCTACTCCGGTTTGTTCCCCGGCAGTGACAACTAGCGCTAGCTATCGAGATAGCGTTAGCTTTCCTCCCTTTCCCTCTGAGTCTCTTTCGTTTCTTGTGTCCTTTGGCAATACCCCCCTCTACCCATCCGTTCTGAAAACCGGGTAGGAGGGGTTGCCTGGTAATTTAGGCTCTTCCTGGTCAGCTAAAACGCTCTGATATGCCTCTTGTGTTGTTCCCCGTTCCAGCCATTGCTACGAAGGCGGCCATTACTCCTATCAGGCAGTGACCGCCTGAGTATCGCGAGAGTACAGATCACGCTCACAAGCTTCACGGGTTGCCAGACTGTGTGCAAATCCCGCATTTCCGAAAATATTGATTAAAATGTTTCCTACTTCTGCAAATTACACATTCAAATAAATACATAAATACAAAAATAAAATAAAAAAGATTTCAGCAGTGGTGTGAAGAAGTATCCAGATATTTTTCTTGAGTAAAGAGGCAATACTACAGCGTAAAACTACGCTGGTACAAGTCAAGGCCCTGCATTCAAAGGTTAACTTCAGTAAGAGTAGCAATTTTACTTTAGTGAAATTAGCAGTTCTACTTAAGTGCATGCCACATTGTACAAATAGAAGTAGAAAGGTGTTTTTTTGCATTTACTCAGATATTGTACCTAAGCACAATTTTAAGCTACTCTTACTTTACTTAAGTATTTTCAGCAATTTCAATCTTTTTAAACTATCACACAATGTAGAATAACTATCTGAACTGGACAATTCTGCAAGTAGCAACAAGTACTTTTACTTTACATGTTGCAGTAAATGTTTCTTAAGTGGAATCTTCAATGTAAGACTTGTATATGACTTTACAGTTGTGTCACAAATAAATAGCCTATAATTTCTTTCCAGATTTGTGCATTCATACTTCCATCATTTGCACATAAAGGCACAGAAACCACAGCCACTATAAACACTGTTGTTGTAATTCCTCATGGTTACCAGTAGAGGCCCATAAAGATCACAGATTATTTTGCATCCCTATAAATGCTGTGTTGAAGTCACAGAGAAATGGCATTTTCAGACATGCTTCCTTGCTAAACTGAATGTATTCTTATGGATTTCCTGATTGTAGAAACAAGATATTGGTGTGGCAGGTGATGATGAAGGGGATCACTGAAAGATGAGGCATCAGTTAGGAAGGACAAGGTAGTTTTATTAAGGTTCTGGTTCATTATGTCATGATTTTGTCTTGCTTGAATGATAAAAGTATGTTTTTAGAAACTAAAATATTGTAATTTAGAAATAAATGCACAATTTTGGCATGGTTTTACACAGGTCTATTGTATTAAATGAAAAATGAAGACCTTGACATTCATTTTGTTATGGAGAAAGTTGAGGTTGAACTCTGTTTGTTCTGTTCATTCTGCATAGCATGAACTGTCTATTGCTCCTCCGCTGTGCTAATTTTTTTCCTGCTCTGTCCAAACTCAGAAGTTGCCAACTCACTAAGGAGCTGCAGGCGATTAAGTTTAGGAGGATGAAGATAATTACAAGCTTGCTATATTCAGTCCAGTCCCCAACTCCCAGATCCTGCCTGCCATCCTCGCTCTCAGCACCTCAGCTGGGGAGAGTGTGAGGAAATGATCTGCTCTGCTCACCAAGAGAAGGAAAATGTAGACAACCCAGATGAGCGAGCACTGTGATGCAACCACAAGTGAGCTGCAAAAACTTACCTGTGAAAATAAGGGTGAAAGAGCTTGTAAGACTAGAAAATGAATCTTTCCATTGGAATACAGGTACAACCAGCGAAGGCAATTGATAACCTACACTTCGTTTGGGTTCGTAGTGCAGAATTTTTGACTTGATAGACAGTTTTGGTTCTTGATCATTCATAACCTTGCTAAGAGGGTGTGCATGCTGTGAGCCTATACATACAGCATAGACTAGTGCTGAGACAATTAGATGATTAATTAATTAGTCGAGTGACTGAAAGTTAATTGACAACAATTTATGAAGCAAAAATGCCAAACATTTGTGGGTACCACATTCTCAAGTGTGAGGATTTTCTGATTTCTCTGTTTTATATGATTGTAAATAAAATATATGGTTGTTTTTTTTTAACTGTTTATCAGATAAAACCAGCAATTTAAAAACATCTCTTTGGGTTCTGCAGGAATTGTATCTATTTTTTTAACCATTTACACACACAACAATTATTCTAGAAAATACTTGATAAATGAATCCATGATGAAAATACTTCCTAGTTGTGGCCCTATAGTCAAGTGGTGGATTGTAACAGAGTACATGTATTCAAGTCCTGTACTTCAGTACATTTTTGAGTGTTTCCATTTGATACTTTATACATCTACTTTGCTAAATTTAAGAATCCATTACATTTATTTGACAGCTTTAGTTACTATTTAAGATTACGATGATGTACTGAATATAAATTAAACTACCCAGCAGTACAAAGCTAAAATTAGCAACATCAGTGATACTTACACATTAATGCATCACTGATTATAACCCAGTGATATTATATGTATTATTCTGAAATGAGCCATTCTGTGTACTTTAAGTATATTTTTAAGCTAATACTTTTGTACTTTTATTTAAGTAATACTTTGAATGCAGGACCTTTACTTGTAATAGAGTATTCTTACACTGTGGTATTACTACTTCTACTTGAGTAAAATATCTGCATATATCTTCAACCACTGCTGAAAAAGGAAGTGACCAAACATTGCTTCCAGACAAAAACTGAGCCATGTTTTCCACCACTTGAAGGAAAAGGCTGGCGATATTCTATATTTTTGTTGTTTTCAACCAATCCCATGAAAAGACCAAAACCAACAACTTAACAACTTTGTCTCAATTTGTTACTACTGAAGGTGTAAATCCCAAAATCCACAAAAACACTTCATTACAAAAAAGGCTAATAGATTTCCTTAAACAGCTGGGCACTGTAGTTTTTAGCAGATGTCAGTCAAACATAAATTAGCAGAGCATTTGTTGGGGACTATTTTCAGCTATGTATTATACACATTTGGTTCTCTGGTGAGTATTTACAGCAGCAGGACGGTGTATGTGGGATTGTCTCAAGACAAACTACGATGTGTAGATTAATGGTAATGTCACCCAGTGCAACAGTGTGGCTCGCTGATGTGTTTTTAAAAGTTCTGTGTGCAACATTCAGAGCATTTATAAAGCCGCAAAACACTATTTGCTGTGTAAAGATTTAGTGGAGTAATGGCTTCCTGAGCAGAGGATGAAATCATGCGCTCTGTGTGTGTTTATAATCCGAGCTTCTCTGTGGTTTGTTATGGTAAACTGGTCGGGCCGTGAGTGCATGTGGGTATTAACTGACCACCTCATTGCTGCAGCTTTACACTGTACTCATATGGCAGTAACTGCTGATATTGTGATGGCATCATCGCAAAATCCCATTCTCCAGTTCCACCCTGGTTAACACTGTTAGCTCTGTGAGCACTGGTGCCGTTGTTTATGGAGTTAGCACCATTAGCTGCTAGCCACCGGCTCAGACTCCCTGTTGAGAACCGTGTGCAGTCAACCCATATGCTCTGAATTTGGCCCCTTTAATAATTAACAGAAAACAACGGTGTTGAGATTTGTTGACAAAGTAAGATAAATATGGTCTATCACAGCAGTAATTTGAAATGGATGGATACTTTAAGTCAATGCATTAAGAAACAGAACACACATTTCCACCGCAGGTTAAGAATTTAATTATTTGTTTATTTATTTATTTATTTACGTATTTCTATCTCCAGATTCACCCACCCGAAAAATATAAATTCCGGTGTATTCCAAAAAAAAAAAAAAAAAAGGAACAATGGCATCTTCATCAACCGCATCAAAGGAATTAATCAACGAAATCAAAATGGCAATAATTATTATCATTATTACAATAATAATTCAATGATCAGAATATCCACATTCATAACAAATCCATATACAACTGCAATACACTCTTCAACACCACTCTTCCATTAATATACACAAAATCCCCAAATGTCTGTCCTGTCAAAACAACAATAGAGGAGTTTTGGGGAGGGGGGCTATGGCTTGTCAAGGGGTATGAAGATGAGTGACCAGAGGAGTTAATGGATCTAAGGTTAGTAAGAGTATAAGGGGGGAGGCACACTTATTTAGTAAGGACCTATACAAAAACAAGCAATGTTAAGTAATGACAGTATACTTTCATGGAAGAATTCGCCAGTCTAACCAGATCTCAACAAAAGGTTAGAGGGCTCCATGAGAGGCAGAATTTGGGGAACAAAATTTCAAGAAATATATAAGGGTTGTCGGAATAAATATATAACTCTGAATGACAACCGTTGCAAACATATACCATAGGAACCTAAAGTGAAAGTCAGATACGCAAGAACTCAAAAACAGGTCGAGAATTTTCAAAGAAATGCAGATGGAGGTTTCTGGAAAAAAATTGTCTTAGTCTATATATGTACAAACATTGCTTGGTCACCCAAATCTACTTAGAAAAGCTTTTTAGTTGGTCAGAAAATGAGTGCAAGCTTTAAGAGTATGTGAGTTACTTCTTGTATGAGAGCTTCAAGAATGCAGCTGTTAAGTGACAGACCTTGCTGATATTCTAAGTCTGTGCACAAAGTGCCTCTGACAGCTCGGTACATTTAAAAACCTTTCCATGCCTCAGTATTGGTAACTTGAGAAGACCTATTCATAGAAAGAGAGAGAAACATTAGAGGAAAAATAACTGTACACTCTGCATATACAAACAAACTGTATATACACATAGACATACCATATATACACATTTATCCAGTATATACACAAAGATTTAGCCAGTACGCACACTTATATACAAACACATTCACTCGTTTCAGCAGGACCTCTAACATATCTCTCTCTGTCGTCGTTTCAGTCGTAAGTGGAAATGGCGGGGATTTCAACTCAGACTGGTGTCAGTGGGGTCCATCCATTGAAATAAATGGGGGGAGTTTTACAGCAATTTGACTGCAGAAATGTGGCCACACTGAAACCAAGAGTTCATCCTCCGCTCGGTTAAAACTCTACAGACACATAGTCGAAAGTGGAGTACAAAACAATAGCTGTAAGAATGTCCTCATCCAAAGACTTTCACATCGTCCGTAAATGGAGAGCTCCATGGCGATTGTTGGGCGAGAAACATCCGTCCACTGTTTCTTTTTTTTTTGTTTGTTTTGAATGATTATAACCAAGAGGAAGGGGTGGGGCACAGGTCACAGCAACGTGCAAACTGCTGTAAGGGGAGTAGGTAAAACACAAGTTTGTCC